ATCAGTGAAGTGTGTGTGTGTACACGAAGATGTGACATAGTAGGGCAGCTGCAGTATTTTCTAGGGCTCCCACATACACAGGATTTTCTCTATATACAAAAAAGTTACGCAGTCTAAATTACTTTTTTTAAACTTGAGAAAATTAATCCCTTTCTTTACAGCTAAAAGGTTTACAGGAATATACAGAAATAATATATTGACTTACAGAAAACACACAGTGAATGAGAAAAGGACAGGCAGGCAGTTGCAGCTCCCTGATTTTCTGTCTTGCACAATTCCAGCCCTGGCTGCACTGTAGTTTATAGCAGCCCCAAGCTACTACCTTTTACAAGCTAACAATTAGCAAAGTGAAATGGCACTCCAGCCACACCCTACTCAGCAGACCTGGGTGGAAGAGCTGCATATGCCAGCTATACATGGGTTGAAAGCACCCCACGAGGGGAATTTTCAGCTGCCAGATATGGCTAGTATGCGGCCCATCTGTGTGTCTCATCAAGGGAGATAATCTGGCCCAAAATATCTAGAAGTGCAGATGTCCAACATCCTGATCCAAAGTATTTTAATGAAAGTCACATTCATGATTTGTAAAAATACCTTAGAAATTTCCCTTCAGAAATTCTTAATAGACAAAGTGACTATTTATGAAGCAGAGTGATTGTTTACAAAACTTTACAGCACACAACAGTACCTTATACGTGGGGCACTTTTCTGTAAAATACTTTCAATACGATCATCCTCCTCTGCACTTTCAGCAGGGTTCCAGTACACACGACATGCTGAAAAGTCTGGTGACAGGGATACCTGTAAAATGCAAAGATTTTTATTAGGGCTGTCGATTAACTGCAGTTAACTTATGTGATTAACTCAAAAAAAAATCGTGATTAAAAAATTAATCGTGATTAATCGCAGGTTTAATCGCACTGTTAAACAATAGAATACCAATTGAAATTTATTAAATATCTTGGATGTTTTTCTACATTTTCAAATATATTGTAGTCTGTGTTGTAATTGAAATCAGTGTATATTATTTTTTTATTAGAAATATTTGCATTGTAAAAATAAAAGAAATAGTATTTTTCAATTGACCTCATACAAGTACTGTAGTGCAATCTTTGTTGTAAAAGTGCAACTTACAAATGTAGATTTTGTTGTTGTTGCATAACTGCCCTCAAAAACAAAACAATGTAAAACTTCAGAGCCTACAAGTCCACTCAGTCCTACTTCATGTTCAGCCAATCACTAAGACAAACAAGTTTGTTTACATTTACTGGAGATAATGCTGCCTGCTTCTTATTTACAATGTCACCAGAAAGCAAGAACAGGCATTTGCATGGCACTTTTGTAGCCGGCATTGCACGGTATTTACATGCTAGATATGCTAGACATTCATATGCCCCTTCATGCTTCAGGCACCATTCCACAGGACATGCTTTCATGCTGATGACGCTCATTAAAAAAATAATGCATTAATTAAATTTGTGACTGAACTCCTTGGGGGAGAATTGTATTTCCCCTGCTCTGTTTTATCTACATTCTGCCATATATTTCATGTTATAGCCGTCTCGGATGATGACCCAGCACATGTTGTTTATTTTAAGAACACTTTCACTGCAGATTTGACAAAACGCAAAGGAGGTACCAATGTGAGATTTCTAAAGATAGCTACAGCACTCAACCCAAGGTCTAAGAATCTGAAGTGCCTTCCAAAATCTGAGAGGGACGAGGTGTGGAGCATGCTTTCAGAAATCTTAAAAGAGCAACACTCCGGTGCGTAAACTACAAAACCCGAACCACCAAAAAAGAACATCAGCCTTCTGCTGGTGGCCTCTGACTCAGATAATGAAAATGAACATGCGTTGGTCCGCACTGCTTTGGATTGTTATCGAGCAGAACTCGTCATCAGCCTGGACACATGTCCCCTGGAATGGTGGTTGAAGCATAAAGGGACATATGAATCTTTAGCGCATCTGGCATGTAAATATCTTGCGACTCTGGCTACAGCAGTGCCATGAGAACTCTTGTTCTCTCTTTCAGGTGACATTGTAAAAAAGAAGTGGGCAGCATTATCTCCTGCAAATACAAACAAGTTTGTTTACCTGAGCAATTGGCTGAACAAGAAGTAGGACTGAGTGGACTTGCAGGCTCTAAAATTTTACATTGTTTTATTTTTAATGCAGTTTTTTGTACATAAGTGCAACTTCCATGATAAAGAGATTGCACTACAGTACTTGTATTAGGTGAACTGAAAAATACGATTTCTTCTTTTTTTACAGTGCAAATACTTGTAATCAAAAATAAATATAAAGTGAGCATTGTACAGTTTGTATTCTGTGTTGTAATTGAAATCAATATATTTGAAAATGTAGAAAACATCCAAAAATATTTAAATAGATGGTATTCTCTTATTGTTTAACCGCGCGGTTAATCTGTTTAATCGCTTGACAGCCCTAATTTTTATAAATGCATGTGGTAAAGCATTCAGACTTGAGGAAAAAGCAATTATTCAATGATCCAAAACTGAGAGCAAGGGTAGAGGAAGATGGTGACCCCAAAGATCTAGGAACAAAATCATTCAATAAACGTACGAGCAAATTCTATTTCTTTTATTTATTTTACAGTGCAAATATTTGTAATAAAAATATAAAGTGAGCACCGTACACCGTATTCTGTGTTGTATTGAAATCAATATTTGAAAATATGAAAAACATCCAAATTTTTTAAAATGGTATTTTATTATTATTTAACAGGGATTAATCACTTGATTAATTGCAATTTTTTAAATCGCTCAACAGCTCTAATTGTTGCATTTCCAAGCATCCTGACTACAACACATTTGTAGTTATATCTTAATATTCAATAACACAAGTTTGTAATGGCCTAATAAAAAAAACTTGCAAAATAAAATTATTATATCAATATTGAAGTCTCTCCCCTACAGTTCCTATCTGTGTGAGAGCCCAGTCGGCAATAAGAGCACAATGGTCTCTTCCTTCATTACACAACAGCAGGGGGAGCATCCTCCAGGAAAGAGAAGGCCCATCCAAACTGGCCAGAAGGAACCACAATACATTTCATCAAGTCCACAGCGGTGGTATCTCTGCAATGTGCACACATCTTCAGCTGACTCGGGGAACAAAACATGAGTTCAAGAGTCAAACTCCAATTCTTCATCTGGCACTAGGAAGCACTATTGTGGCCAACTTAAGTGTAGTTCTTTTTAAAAAAAATAAATAAAGACTGCACACACAAACCTTAAGCTTCTAGGATATTATGACATTTTACTGGGCAAGCACTATAAAGAATGTATTTGTGGGCTGGGGGTGAGTGTTTTTAGTCTCTGCATAAATCTCTTAAGGAAAGGGAGAGTGTGATGGGTTCCCCCCTGGGGTGCCACCTGGAACTGGGGTACCACTGAGCCCTCTGATCCACCAGCATGGGCTCCCTGTCACACTGTATTGCTGTGACAAGCTGCAAAGCCCTCCAGCCTGTACTTTCACCAGCCTTCATACAGATAAGGCCACACCCAGCTGCAGTTACATGCAGGCTCTCTGTCCAGCCCCTGCAATGAACCAACAATAGAAAGGCTACAGCTAAGGCAGCTCCCCAGGCCCGCACCCCCCCTCTGGAGTATAAATCCAAAGTTATATTGTCTTGCGCTGCACAGGGAACTGTATAGAGTAAGCTCTTAAAGTTTGCCCCCTCCCTCAATATGCAACAGCCTTTGCCCCTTGAGCTAAGATTCCCATACTTACTCCAACTCACTGGTTTAGATAAAGCAAAATCACATTTATTAACTACAAAAGATAGATTTTATGTGATTATAAGGGATAGCAAAGAGATCAGTGCAGATTAGCAAATAAACAAAAAACGCAAACTAAGCCTAATATACTAGATTAGATTGGATATGAATTAGCTGATTCTCACCCTAAGAGATGATACAAGCAGGCTGCAGATTCTTAAGGGGCAAGCTGCACTTGCTTTACAGCTTGGGATCCCCAGGTGTTTCATTCACAGGGTAGAAATCCCTTTAGCCTGGATCCAGCACTTCTCCCTGTTCAGTCTTTGTGCCTCAGGTGTTTCCATGAGTCTTTTTATGTGGGGAGTGAAGAACACCAGATGATGTCTCTCCCTGCCTTATATAGCTTTTGCATATGGTAGAAACCCTTTGTTTCAAAGCTTGGTTCCCAGACGAGTCTGTGGAAAAATACTGACATCCCAAGATGGAGTCCAGCATCATGTGGTCTGATCACGTGTCCTTGTAGAGTCATAGCAGCCATTACTCACAGGCCTTTGGAGTTTCCCAGGAAGGCTCATCACCAGTGGGAGATCAGCTTCTCCAACGGCCTATAGATTTTTCCTAATAGCCCATTGCCCTGAATAGGCCCTTCCCCACTCACTATCTAGACTTAAAGCATCTTGTCTAGTGGGCGTTACCCAGGTGTAACTACATTTGAAATAGTTATAGTGAATATTCATAACTTCAGATACAAAAATGATCTATGCATACAAACAGGATAATCATATTCAGAAAATCATAACTTTTCCAATGACACTTCACATGACTTATCTTGCATAAAATACATCATAATTATGTCAATCATATCATAATAATACCACAATAAAGACTATGGGGTGCAGTGTCAGAGAGATCAACTGCCTATAGTGAATTATGGACTAGAACTGAGAGGATCCATCCTGTTTTCCTAACTAGAAATCTGATGGCCATAGTACAGAACCACGAGAACTGCAATGAAGCGTGGTGATAAACACAGAACCCTCAAATATGAATCAAGGGCAAATGTTAAGATTTTTCAGAGATCACTCTTTTACACACACACCCCGCCCCATCCCGGAGGAAGACAGAATAAGCATGAGACTTGCTGTAATGTGCTAATATCAGTAATTACTTATAGTTATATCAGGAGAAAAAGCATGTTATGAGAGCCTCTCTCTCAAATTTTGTATTGTGTTAAAGACTAACTGCAAAACTCCCCAGAGATTCAGAAAACCATTTAGGAACACAGAAATTCCCACACTACAGCAGACCTAAGGCCCATCTAGTCTAGTATCTTGTCTCCGACACTGGCCAGTATGAGATGCTTCAGAGAAAGGTGTATAAAAAAATCGCACAATATACAGATGTGGGATAGTCCCACTAGGTCTCATCCTGATCTCTAATAGTTAGAGGTTGGTTTAAGCCCTGACACATGAGGTTTAATCCCCTTCCAAATTAGTTTTGATCATTAATTATGACAACTCTGTATATTGTTGTTCTCCGTATACAGGTCCAACCCCTTTTTTAATCTTGCTTAGCATCAAAGTAATGTTATTAGCTTGGCCTTTTTGAACTAGGGCCGTGTCTACATTACAGAATTCTAACTATGTCAGTCAGGGGTGTGAAGAGGTGAGATCCCTGATTGACACATCTATGACAACAAAAGCCTCTAGTATAGATGCAGTTATACCAACAAAACTCTGCTTTTGCTGGTGTGACATGGCCAGAAAGGGTTAAGCAACTCGCAGGATAAATGACCCAGATTTAACCCTTAGAAACATGTTAGAAAAGTAGATAAATGGTCATTAGAAAACCTATATTGTTAGAGAATTAGAGGAGATACTAATTGTATATGTTTACTTATATCTTGTTAGATGTTAGCCATGTAAACAGACAATTCCTGTCTATTACTATAGCTACTGATTTAGAGATCAAAAGGGAATATTAACAGTTAGATGGATCTTGGGTGAAATAAGTCATTGTCTATGTCTCTTTGACATTTGTCGAAAATTGTATATGAACTGCTCAATGGATAATTACCTTATGTTAATCCATGTAGTTAATTACCAGTGATGCTTAGGAAATAGAAGGTTACTTCAAATGCCTATTGTTCACCCAGGACTGTATGGTCAAAAGGCTGCCAGAAAACTGTATAAAAACCCTTGGGATCTGATCTTTTCATCTCAGATCTGCTTGATGCTTTATGCAGGGGAAGCTTAAGTCGTAAGACTGAGATCTCCAGTCCCAGTTGGATCAACCTGGATAAGAACATTGGACTGAATCTATGGACTAATTCTAAGTACTCTTTGCAACTCCAAAGCTCGCCATCTCTACTATGAAACTGATCTCAGAACTGTACTCATGTCTGTATGTATACTGATCTTTTAACCAATTCTCTCTCTTTTTTTAAAAATACATTTTAGTTTAGTTAAGAATTAGCTGTAAGCGTGTATTTGGATAAGATCTGAAATATTCATTAACTTGGGAGGTAATGTGTCTGATCCTTTGGGATTGGTAGAACTTTCTTATATGATTAAAATTTTAAGTAATCTTCATCATATTTGACTTGGGTGTCTGTGTGGAAGCCCAAGGCTGGGTTGCTATAAGGGAACTGTGTTTTGGCTTCTGTGCAACCAATAAGGTATTGTAGAAGCTGTTTTGTGCTGGCTTGGTAAATCTAAGTATTGGAATATCCACCAGCTTTGGGGATTGTCTGCCCCATTCTTTGCAGTTTGCCCTAATTGAGTAACCTCAGTGTGGGCCCCCCTGGAACCCCAGTCACAGCCGGTATAAACTGTGTCCTACTGGGACAGGCATCACACATGGGCATAGCTACACTGGCAAGTATTCCTAATATAGACATGGCCTAAGGCCCTGATCGTGCATTGTGATCTTTGCAGGCAAACTGCTGTGCCCCCACTGAGCCCCATGGAAGACCGTGAGGAGCTGCATGGTACAGCAGTCCACCTGCATAGATCAGAATAGAGGGCTGGCGCCTAAAAGTTGTTTTTGAATATCGCATTATCTTGTTCCACAACTTAGTCAAAGTGACTTCACATGAACTATGGCTTTTGTACTTGCCTTGGTGAGTTCCAGCTTGAGGTCACAAACCTCTTGACTTACTTCACAGGTGCACATCAAGTCTGTCACAGCTTTATACAAGAGGATATTTAGGACCTTTTTGCGTATGCTGTCTTCTTTCCTAGTTTTCTGCTGAGTAGCCTTTAGTATAGTGGCCAACTTGGATGGCTTGTACACCTTTAAAAACAAAAACATTAACTAAGAAATAGTCTAGACAAATGTACAACAGTTTTTTGTAATTCTACTACTTTTCAATTTTATCAACAAAGAAGTGTGATCTTAAAGTATTATATTCAAGATTTATTTTCTCATTTATTTTGTAGCATCTTTAATTTAGCCATCTCTAAAGCTCAGTAAATCTGTGTTCTAAAATGGAGTGGACATAATCAGGAAAATTATTTTTAACAAAAACTAATTTTTTTTAGTTTGCTTTTCAAATTGTACTTTGGATAAAACCTAAAGGGTCAGATTTTGCAATATGGCATGCCTTAGGAAAACTTTAAGCATGGAACATGCTGTTTATGAACTTTAAATGTAAACAGAACTAGATTATGAAAAATCTAAAGTAGAGTATTTTGAACGGGGGGGTGGGGGAGGGACAGGGACAAAGACATCACTTCCCGCAGCTCCCATTGGCTGGGAATGGCGAACCGCGGCCACAGGGAGCTGAGGGGCTTCATGCCTGCTGACGCTCCAAGTAAACGTCCCAACCTGCCAGTGGCTTACCCTGACGGGCCAGGAGCCAAAGTTTTCCAACCCCTGAAATATAGGGTCGGCTTATGAAAGGGTCATACGGTTTTTGCTATTTTTACCTATCCATGTTAGGGGGTCGGCTTATAAACAAATGGGCTAATGAACGAGTATATACGGTAATTACAATCTGAAGACTGCTACAGAATGAGTATCACAGGTCACTTTCTTGTGGATATCAAGAGCCCAGATGGCAAACTCGTCCTTGTTTGTAAGGGAGACAGGGTAGGTGAGGTAATATCTTTTATTGGACCAACTTCTGTTGGTGGAAGCTTCTGAGCTACACAGTGCTTCCTTACCCAGACCTGAAGAAGAGTGGAGTGTTTGAACTACGTTTATAAGCCTATGCGCTGAAGACCAGGGCCACAGATCCAGCAAACTCTTCACATGCTTAGCTTTATGCAATTTGAAAAGTCCCCACTGATTTAAATAAGACTACTCATACACATTTGCAAGATTCAACAGAGGGTCCTGTGGCACCTTTGAGACTAACAGAAGTACTGGGAGCATAAGCTTTCGTGGGTAAGAACCTCACTTCTTCAGATGCATCTGAAGAAGTGAGGTTCTTACCCACGAAAGCTTATGCTCCCAGTACTTCTGTTAGTCTCAAAGGTGCCACAGGACCCTCTGTTGCTTTTTACAGATTCAGACTAACACGGCTACCCCTCTGATATTTGCAAGATTGCAGCCTAGGACTGAATATGTCTGGAGATAAGGCAGGAAAGTCTAGTGAGGAAAGCTCCACCTTACAGGCAGAACAGGTGGTTATGTTGAGATATTGATAGTTTTATATATATGGTTTTGTAATTTCATAGGTATAGATATATCCCCTTTTAGGCCCCAAACCAAAACAAGCCAACAGAAAGGAATATAGAAGCTCGAGCACCAAGGACAAGCTAATTAAAACTATCCTCCCTGTATCTCTATGTAAAAAGTTACAAGGACAACTTGCTAATTGTACTAGCACATCCATGGACAAAGAGTCTGTCCGAGGAGGTGATAAGAGTTGTTGTAAAAACAACTGTGCTCTGGAATTGGTCTTGCAGAAATCTCTTACCCCCTTCGTTTATTATCCTGCTTGTTTTCTACTATTGTATCAAAGAAGTTAAATAGATTGATGGAAGTCTGTCATATCTGGAGAATAGAATTGTAAAATAAGGATGTCAGGAAGAGGAGGTAGTAAAACATAAGTGCAAGATGTGACTTAAAGATACAGAATGAATGTGAATGAATGCATGTGATGCAAATAAATAATTAGCAAATCAAAGGTGCCAGCCTAAGAATTATAACTGTGATATCCCATGGCCGAAGAATGCATAGCACAGAGATAACCGGATGACCCCACAGGGCAAGCCAGAATCCACCCAAGCGCCCACCCCCCCACCCACCCCCCAGATGGAGGGCTGAAGACTTGAAGAACAAGATAACACTCAGCAGAACAAGATAACACTCAGCCGTCAGGGATGTGCCATCTGCTGATTGATTATCACTTCAAACAAACATCAGCATGATGAAGCGATTCCCATAGACTTGTATAAGGACAAAATCCTATAAGAACAGAACCAAGTACTCAGGGACTTTGAGTCTCGTTCTGCAACCACCCTCCAGGAGCATTGGATGCGCATCTGACAAGGACTTGGCTCCACCCTCGTGTGCAGGCTACCTGGCTAGTACTCTGCCATGAGCAACCTCTAGGCTGGTAACTATAACAACTCTGCAGAACTTGTATGAATGAGTGTGTGAATGAATAAGGAATGGTAGTGAAATAATATTGAATTGCATATCCTGATTTCTCGCTCTTTCTCTGTATTTATAATAAACGCGGCATTTTGCCTTATCCCTCTTAGAAGACCCTGTTGGTATTATTTTATTAGTATAACAGTTACATACAACAAAACTTTTAGTGACTACCAGGCTAAAAAGTGAAATTTTTCAGTGAGTCTCATGCAAGAAAATCCAAGCAACTTGGTGAAAATGCTTGCAGACACTGTGGTAAGCATTATAAAAAACAAAACAAACAGGACGATAAACACCAAAAACTTGAAACTAACAAAAAGTGTGCTAAACTTAAACCAAACCAACTTTTACTGCAGCATCCTTTCCTCTATTCTTATATTATGCCTAATTTAGGTCCCAGTTTCTGCTGTCAGAGCTGCAATTCAATGGCATTATTTGTGTGTGTAAAATTACTCATGTGCATAAGTGTTTGCAGGATTGGAACCTAAGACTAAACTCCTTAGGACAGAAATTTGTCTTCCTAGGTCTGTAGAGGATCAGGCACATTTACGGTGTTAAAACAATACTGCTCTATGTATTCTATAGATAACTAGATTGCTAGTCTTCATTTTTAAAATTCTGATATTTCTTGGTAGTAAATAAATGCACTGAAAATTTGCACTTACCAGATGAGACCCCACTGTAGGACTGTCATACCAAAACTTCTTTCTTTTCAAAAGAGAAAAGAAAAAAAATTACTTTTTAAAAACTATAAAGAAATATTAGGCATATGTGTGTATGAAAGTGCCATTCTACTCTGAAAAATCACCTTCATAAGTAAAATGGCATTAAAGGAATCTTAGTTTCTCAATGACATTGCATCAAGTGTGCTCAGTGTACAAATTGTTTTACTTTAGAAAGCCCTGGTCTACTCTATGGGGTTAGGTTGAATTTAGCCACATTAGGTCGATTTTATAATGAATGTGTCTACACAAGCAACCCCATTCCATCGACCTAAAGGGCTCTTAAAATCGACTTCTGTACTTCTTTCCAGCAAGGGGAATAGCGCTAAAATCAACCTTGCTGGGTCGAATTTGGGGTAGTGCAGACGCAATTCAACGTTATTGGCCTCCGGGAGCTATCCCAGAGTGCTCCAATGTGACCGCTCTGGACAGCACTTTCAATTCCGATGCACTAGCCAGGTACACAGGAAAAGCCCCAGGAACTTTTGAATTTCATTTCCTGTTCGGTCAGCGTGGCGAGCTCAGCAGCACAGGTGACCATGCAGTCCCCCAAGAATCGCAAATGAACTCCGGCATGGAGCAAACGGGAGACACTGGATCTGATTGCTGTATGGGGAGAAGAATCTGTGCAGGCAGAACTCCGATCAAAAAGAAGAAATGCTAATATATATGCCAAAATCACACAGGGCATGATGGACAGAGGCTACAACAGGGACACACAGCAGTGCCGCATGAAAGTTAAGGAGCTCAAGGCAAGCCTACCAAAAGACAAAGGAGGCAAACGGTCGCTCCGGGTCAGAGCCCCATAATGCCGCTTCTATGATCAGCTGCATGGCATTCTGGGGGGGATGGGACCCTACCACTACCCCGCCATTGTCCATGGACACCTGCAAGGGGAGAGTTTCATGCAACAGGGAGTAGGATTTTGTGGAGGAGGAGGAGAATGCGCAGCAGGCAAGCGGTGAATCCGTTCTCCACAGCAGCCAGGAACTTTTCATCACCCTGGAGCCAATAACCTCCCAAGGCGGGATCCCCAACCCTGAAGGTGGAGAAGGCCCCTCTGGTGCACATTTGTAACTACAGTACAGGGTTTAAAAGCATAGTGTTTAATGTTTGATTTGCCCATAAGACTTGGGATGCATTCGTGGCCAGTACAGCTACTGGAAAAGTCTGTTAACGTGTCTGGGGATGGAGCGGGAATCCTCCAGGGATATCTCCATGAAGCTCTCCTGGAGATACTCTGAAAGCCTTTGCAGAAGGTTTCTGGGGAGGGCTGCCTTATTTCGTCCTCCACGGTAGGACACTTCCCCACGCCAAGCCAGTAGCAAGTAGTCTGGAATCATTACAGCACAAAGCATGGCAGTGAATGGTCCTGGATTTTGGTTGCATTCAAGCAACATTCGGTTTATATCTTTCTGTATTAGCCTCAGGAGAATGATCATCATTCATGGTCACCTGGTTGAAATAGGGGAATTTTTGTAAGGGAACAGTATAAGGTCAGGCTGGGCTGTTTGCGCTTGGCTAAAAGGGATCATCCCGGAGAATAGCCATGCGGCAGGGGGAAGGGGGAAGGGATCGTCCCAGAGAATAGCCACGCAGTGGGGTGGGGAGGAGGTGGGTGCTGCACATCCACCCGAAAATCGCAGCCCCTCCTTTTAAATGGCAAACGCAGCCGGCATTGCTTGCTATGGGAAAGCAGGGCACTGCAGTTTGAAACCATTCCCACGTTATGAAGGTGTTAGAAGCCAATCCCACGTACCCTTTGGCTTACCATGGCTGCTTGAAAACCGAATTCTGTTGCCCAGCCGCGTGTGATGTATCACCATACCGAAAGGTGCTCAATATAAAAGGCAAAATACGACCTTGTACTTAAAGCCCATGTGCTGTCTGCTGTGAATTGCCTGATTCACTGTGAAAGAGTCTCCCTTTTGTTCTCAGAAATGTATCATCTTAAATTTTACTCTCCCTTTCTATTATCTTGCAGGTGCAAATGTTTCTATGCTCCCCCTATCATCTCCATCCCTGAGGTTATTGAAGATTAGAAGGTGAAAAAACTGCACTCGCGATGACATATTTTCTGAGCTCATGCAGTCCTCCCGCACTGATAGGGCACAACTGAATGCATGGAGGCATTCAGTGGCAGAGTCCAGGAAAGCATTAAGTAAGCACGATGAGAAGAGGCGGGATGCGATGCTGAGGCTAATGGGGGAGCAAATGGACATGCTCAGGCGCCTGGTGGAGCTTCAGGAAAGCCAACAAGAGCACAGACCGCCGCTGCATCCACTGTATAACTGCCTGCCCTCCTCCCCAAGTTCCAGATCCTCCTCACCCAGATGCCCAAAAACATGCGGGGGGGTGGGGGGTGGGAGGCCCCGGGCACTCAGCCACTCCACTCCCGAGGATGGCCAAGCAACAGAAGGCTATCATTCGAACAGTTTTGATTTGTAGTGTGGCTACAATAAGCATTGTGGCCTTGTCCTTCCCACCTCCCCCACCCGGGCTACATTGTCAGTTATCTCACTTGTTTTTGTAATTAATAGAGAAAGAATGCATGGTTTCAAAACAATAGTGACTTTATTTCCTTTGCCAGCTGTGATCTAAGGGGGGAGGGTGGTTGGCTTACAGGGAATTAAAATCAACAAAGGGGGCAGGTTTGCATCAAGGAGAAACACACACAACTCTCACACGGTAGCCTGGCCAGTCATGAAACTGGTTTTCAAAGCCTCTCTGATGTGCAGCGCGCCCCGCTGTTCTCTTCTAATCGCCCTGGTGTCTAGCTGCTCAAAATCGGCCACCAGGCGATTTGCCTCAACCTCCCACCCCGCCATAAATGTCTCCCCCTTACTCTCACAGATATTATGGAGCACACAGCAAGCAGCAATAACAATGGGAATATTGGTTGCGCTGAGGTCTAACTTAGGCTAGGTCTACACTACCCGCCTGAATCGGCAGGTAGAAATCGACCTCTCGGGGATCGATTTATCGCGTCCCAATCGATCCCCGAATCGGCGCTCTTACTCCACCAGCGGAGGTGGAAGTAAGCGCCGTCGACAGAAAGCCGCAGAAATCGATTTTGCCGCCGTCCTCACAGCGGGGTAAGTCGGCTGCGATACGTCGAATTCAGCTACGCTATTCACGTAGCTGAATTTGCATATCTTAAATCGACTCCCCCCTGTAGTGTAGATGTACCCTTAGTCAGCAAACAGCGCCAGCAAGCTTTTAAACGTCCAAAGGCACATTCTACCACCATTCTGCACTTGCTCAGCCTATAGTTGAACTGCTCCTTACTACTGTCCAGGCTGCCTGTGTCTGGCTTCATGAGCCATGGGAGCAAGGGGTAGGCTGGATCTCCAAGGATAACTATTGGCATTTCAACATCCCCCACAGTAATTTTCTTGTCTGGGAAGTAAGTCCCTTCTTTCAGCTGTTCAAACAGCCCAGAGTTCCTTAAGATGCGTGCTTCATGAACTTTTCCCGGCCATCCCACGTTGATGTCGGTGAAATGTCCCTTGTGATCCACCAGTGCTTGCAGCACCATTGAGAAGTACCCTTTGCGGTTTACACACTGGTTGGCAAGGTGATCCAGTGCCAAGATAGGGATACGCGTTCCGTCTATCGCCCCACCACAGTTAGGGAACCCCATTGCAGCAAAGCCATCCACTATGACCTGCACATTTCCCAGAGTCACTACCCTTGATAGCAGAATGTCAGTGATTGCACTGGCTACTTGAACCACAGCAGTCCCCACAGTAGATCTGCCCACTCTACATTGATTCCCGACTGACCAGTAGCAGTCAGGCGTTGCAAGCTTCCACAGGGCTATTGCCATTCGCTTCTCAACTGTCAGGGCAGCTCTCATCTTGGTATTCCCGCGCTTCAGGGCAGGGGAAAGCAACTCACAGAGTTCCAGGAAAGTGGCCTTACGCATGCGAAAGTTTCGCAGCCACTGGGAATCATCCCATACCTGCAACACTATGCGGTCCCACCAGTCTGTGCTTGTTTGCCAGGCCCATAATCGGCGTTCCGCTGTATCAATCAGCCCCACTGCCACCATGATGTCCCAATTGCCACATCCCATGCTTTCAGAAACGTCTGTGTCCATGTCCTCATCAAAAACCTCCTCATGCTGGCATCTCTTAGCCCGGTTCTGCATATAGTCCAGGATAATGTAAGAGGGTGTTTACAATGCTCACAACAGCAGCGGTGACGGTGAGCTGAGCAGGCTCCATGCTTGCTGTGGTATGGCGTCTGCACGGGTAGCCCAGGAAAAAAGGCACAAAATGATTGTCTGCCATTGCTTTCACAGAGGGAGGGGCGACTGACGACATGTATCCAAAACCACCCACAACAATGTTTTTGCCCCATCAGGCACTGGGAGCTTAACCCAGAATTCCAATGGGCAGCAGAGACTGTGGCAAAGCTGCCCACAGTGCACTGCTCCACAGGGTGACCAGACAGCAAGTATGAAAAATCGGGACGGGGGTGGGGGTAACAGGAGCCTATATAAGAAAAAGACCCAAAAATCAGGACTGTCCCAATAAAATCGGGACATCTGGTCACCCTACCGCTCCGTGAGTCGATGCTTGCCACGGTAGTGAGGACGCATCCGCCGACTTAATGCGCTTAGTGGGGACATACGCAGTCGACTGTATAAAATCCGTTTGTAAAGTTTGACTTCTATAAAATCAACCTAATTTCGTAGTGTAGACATACCCTTAGTGAGGCAAGCAAATAGCAACAACATATGTAGAGACCGGGGGGGGGGGGGGCAGGAAGGAGAGGGGAACGGAAGGAACCTAAAGTATCTTTACAAATAAATTTAATCTGGACCACAACTATTAAAATGTCTTATTATGGCTACTGCAGGATCATTAGATTTAAGGTGGTCTGACTTATCTCCATGTGCATTTCCATGCACTTGGTTTGGGGATAATTACAAAACATCCCTATAATGTATTTTGCCCTAAATTACCAATCGCCTCAATCTTTATTCCCCTTTAAAACCGTTTTTGGAGAATACTTATAGTTTGGGAGTTTAGCAGTATACATACTATAGATTAAGTGACTTTTACTGCAAATACCTAGGGCTAGGAGGAAGTCAGCACTTCATTCTCTATTGAACATACGGGAACCAGCCAGCCCCCTGGGGCAGTGTGCTCAAGCCAGGACAATCTGCACGAGGAAGATTTTCTTTTAAGTCTCATTGCAAAACGGCTCAAGTGTAAACAACATAAAGCGGTTTCTTCCGCAGCAGGGGGGAGATAATTCATAAAACGGCTTCATATTAACCAAGAAGCGTCTCTCCACACAGCTGGAAGGGGGCGCCAGGGTAGACACCAGCGCTCAGCCATAGGCTCGGAGGCTGCTGTTGCTGCAAACCGTGGCAGCAGTTTTCGGGGCAAGGCAGGCGCTTCGCAGCCGCCGGGAGGTTGCTGCCCGGGGAGGCCCGTGTTCCGCGGCCCTGGGGGAAGGGAGCTCCCGGGGGGTGGCCAGCCCGGGCCGGGCACTTACTTGGTTTTCGAGGCGAATTTCTTGAGCAGGTTCTTGGAGCCGCAGAGGGCGGCGGACCCGTGCAGGGCCCGGCTCCAGGAGCCGCCCGGCAGCAGATCGCCCGCGCCGGCCTCCACCCCGCCGCCGCTCGCAGCGCTCCACCGCTGGGCCCCGCCGGGTGCGATCGCTCGGAGCTGGCGCCATCGCGGCCCCCGGCCGGCCCGCGAGCCCCACATGCTGCAGCGAGCCGCGCGCCGCTCCGGGTCCGGGGGAAGGAGCAGCAGCCGGGCCTCCCTGCGCTGCGCCGCGCCCCTAACGGGCATGGGCGGCACCGCACCGGCTCTGCCTCTGGGACGCTGGAGCCGGGGAGCTGCGCGCTCCCCCGCGTTAGCCGCTGTGGGAAAGCCGCCAGGGGGGGCGCTTACCGCTTAGGCCACCTACTGCCGCTGCTAGAGATTCAGCTGCACTCGCCCAGGGCCCTTAGTGAGGGACGTGCCTCTCCTCGCAGGAGTCGTCACCCCGAGGCGGGTCCCGAGTTCCCCCAGCGAGCCTGGCCTCTGCCCCAGCTACCCTCCACCCCTCAGAAAGGGGCCCAGGGACTGGCAGGCTCAGTCCATGCTCCACTTTGGCCCAGTCAGTAGAGTTCAAAACAAAAGATGACCCTGGAGAGAGCTGGACTGCTGAGCAATCTGTTCACTGATCACACTGCACTGAATTCCACCCCAGAGCTGGATGCATTTCAGTAGGCGATGGAGGAATCATCATTATATCTAATTAGATTTATAAAGTGCTAAAAATGTACCTATCCATCTGTCCCTTTCCCTACACACACACATGCATGGGAATAAAGGGGGATAAGGGCATCAGGTGCCCCTTATGTCCCCTGTGCAGGCACTCTGTGGGTCAGGGACAGTAGGCACTGAAAGTCTGCTACTCCTTGACTGCTGTGCTGATGATGGACAGGGAGGCCTGTGAAATAGTAAAGCCTTTCCTGGACTTCCCTAAACTCATCAACCAGTGGAGCTCAGCCAATGCAGAGAGGAAACAAAATGTTACTGTAGCAAGGGAGAAATTGGTTGGGAAGAAGCCCTGCCTCTGTCATACCTCCTGTGCGCTGCTCCTGGGGTGGCACATCACAAGTGCTGTCCCTTATTATGACCTACAGGCAACATTCAGCCTGGCCCTTTATTAAACATATATTGTCTACATTTTGCTTTGGAGTGTAGTTTGTCTTGTAAAAGACACTAGAATACAGTGTCACTTTATTGAAGTTTTCATTTCTCTGCTGGGGCGCAGCGCTGTAGAACAACTTTAAGGACGCAATCAAAATAAAGCACACCCAAAGCTAGACTCAGCCTGTGCCTACTTCTAAAATTACTCATTTTTGCTTTAGGGCTCAACATGAAATACTCCATAATTTTTCAGGCAGAATTTCTGTTGTGATTAAGTCAAAATAAATGTAAACCAAACATGTTACTTCTACATCGTGTCTATGTGACAGATTTGAAATAATTACATAGCGTAAATAGGTGTCAAATGACAGTTTATTCTTGTTATCATAAACATTAAAGTTTTGCCAAATGCAAGTCATTTTAGGGAATCACTTCATTAGGGATAGGGAGACCATTAAGAGCAGCCAATATGCTTTCAACCATATTCTTCATCACGAGGCGACGAGAACTTGTAGTAGCACTTCCAATGTGAGGAGTTATAATAATGTTCTTTAATTTTAACAAAGGATGGTGCCTGGAGGCGGGGCAGAAAAAACAGAAAAAGTAGAGATGAGGTTCAGAGCTATTTTATTGATTCTTTTTATTATAAAGATCTAAGTGGAAACAAGAGTGTTAATATGGATTTGAAATAATTGCTTGAGTCAAGCATATACAGAGTGGAATTAAAGCTGCTGCATGCAGTTTTTATGCAGCAAAACTCCCAAAGAAGTCAGTGTGAGTTTTATTTGTCTAAGGACTGCATGATTGGGTTCTAAGGCCTCTGTCCTGCTTAATATTTACACACCTGAGTAGTCCCATTGATTTCAATAGGAATATACATAAAACATAATGCAACTATTCTCATTCATATATTCACACACACACACTTAGTTTACGCTATATATGTACACACACACTCCCTCTCTTTTATATTTAACTTTTAACCATTTTTTACCTTGGCAGAGGTTCAGGGTATGTCACATCTAAAGCAGCAGCCTTAATAACCCCATTTTGAAGTGCTTCCACCAATGCATCTTGATCAACCACTGGACCTGGGTTAGAACAACAATATTCTTATTGCCATCCCCACTAAATCAAGAAAAACTTGTCTCTCTGCTATAATTTTAAAGTGGAAATGGATTTCCAACTCTAAACATGAATGCTGATTCTGGTGTTTAACAGCAAATTTACAAGCAAGGGTTTTATTATAAAGTATTACTGATCTAGATTTTTAAAATGTGCATTGTATTGATGCTATATTCAAAGTTTTGCCTGTTTGATGAATTTGGTGCCAGAATGCTAGACAATCTACATGGGCTATAGCAGGGGTGGCCAACCTGAGCCTGAGAAGGAGACAGAATTTAACAATGTACATTGCCAAAGAGCCACAGTAATACATTGGCAGCCCCCCATCAGCTCCCCCACCCTGCTCCCAGCACCTCTCACCCACTGGCAGCCCCGCCAATCAGCACCTCCCCCTCCCTCCTCCCCTCGCACCTCCCAATCAGTTGTTTTGTGGCATGCAGGAGGCTCTGGGGGGGAAGGGGGAGAAGCGAGGGCACTGCAGGGGAGGGAGCGGGAAGGGGTGGAGTGGGGGCAGGGCCTGTGGCAGAGCCAGGGGTTGAGCAGTGAGCACCCCTTGGCACATTGGAAAGTTGGCGCCCGTAGCTCAAGCCCCGGAGTCAGTGCCTATACAAGGAGCTGCATATTAACTTCTGAAGAGCCATATGTGCCTCCGGAGCCACAGCTTGGCCACCTCTGAGCTATAGGCAAATTTTGTTTTAAATTTCCTGCCCTTAGAAGATTAGGTTGTGAGGGGTCAACTTTTTTATGTTTGTGCAAAGGCAACAGGAGAGTTTAATCTAAACTCACAGGAGACAATCTCCTGCTATTGTCCCTGATTCAACAGAGCACTTGAGTACCTGCAGAACTTTAGACACTTGGGTTAATCCCATATCTATTCAGCAAAGCATTTACACATGTACTTAATTTTAAGCATGTGAGTGTCCATTGAAGTTTCATAGGACTACTCACATTTTTAAAGTTATGCATGTGTTTAAGAGTTTTGCTGAAACAGGTCCACAGACATTTAGAATCTTGACAACCCTGCTATCACAGTTCCCACAGAAAATTTCAGTGTAGGCACTAGTATCAGGAGTTGATTTTTTTTTCCAGAGACCCTTGCATTGAAGGTAAATTGCATTGTGGTTGGTAAGCAGTCATTCTGTACCCTACCTCTGCTGATGTTAATGAGAGTAGCAGTAGGTTTCATCAGTTCTAACTCCTTCTTCCCAAACAGTTTGTCTGTCTGAGGCGTCAGCTTCACAACCAGCATCACAAAATCTGACTGCTGGAGCAAGTCTTCTATCTTTTTACAATAAATGGCACCAACAGCCCGTTCCTCTTCCTCTTTTCTGAAGGAAAACAAAGTTCAACTGCTCTTGTAAGTAGAAAATATTGGGGGTTCAAATCTCTATTACAGAAATGGATTTCACCCTCTCACTCCCCCTGCTGCCCCATCCATTTGCAGCTCAGTGTACGACTATGCAGGAGCCCTGTATTTGCAAGGGTATCTGCTTCCCAGGAGGAAGCATCAGAGATGATTAGTTTGGCATCCACTGCAGAGTGGAATGTCAAGTCTGCAAGAGTCTTACTGCTAGCCTATTTAGGGAATAGCATTGCTGCCTGTTTTGGAGGAGACTGTTTACTTTCCTTCTTACATCAAGCTGGAAATAGGGATAGCTGCCATTTAAATAACTGGAGGGAAAGAGGTTCAGACATACAACACAGGAAACAGTGGCACAGAAAGAAGAACCGAGGGAAACCTATTGGAGGGCTCCTTAATGAGAAAGTTGGTGTCATGAAGCAGAATAATGCGGACTCAAGTGCCAAAGGAGTCAGGGGAGCAAGAGCAGAAAGAACAAATATAAATGAGAACAAATATTAAATATATTTATTGGACTGTTTTTCCTCCTATTGGGATGTTCTATAACTAAGCTCAGTTACAAATATCTCTTAAGGCTCCTGCATTTGTCAATCAGTGGAATTTGTGCTTGATCCATAGCAAGTGATGCTGTTCTCAGACCATCAGTAGTTGGTCTGTCTGAGGTCTTATGGTCCCATCTTCTTGGTAAAGTTTCTCAGCTAGGATATATTTACTATATGTTTGTATAGGGCCTAGCCCAATGGGGCCCCAATGCCACAATATTAAAATGTAAAAATAATGATGTTGATGATCATGCTTTCTGGTCCTAACATGGATTCCCTTCTAACCCACATGATTTTCACTTGCTTTCTGTGTCTGCAACATGGCAGCAGACATGATGCAAGGAGAGAAATTATTCTGTGGACTAGTGTTGGTCCACAGAGAGCTGGCAGTTCACATGGTGTAACTCTCTTTATATTCCGCTGCTTCTAAGAGGAGGTAAAGGAGCCAGACTAGCTACTTCTGTTTGGGGCCACTGCTACATAATTGCTACAGGAATACTGTTTGATTGGACTATCTTTTATTTCCACTATCTATTAAGATATGATCCATACTATCAAAAGGTTGGAGGATGACTACTGATGTCTAAGACCACTGGCATGGCAGGCAAATTTCTAATCCTTCCTGCACATTTTTAAACAAACCTCACAACAGTTCTATGTATTTCATTATTTAAAAATAGAATAGCAATAATAAAAAAGGCACTTAAGAATAAGGGTGCAGGTATCACACCATTATGTCCCTATGCCTCATCCTGAAATTGAGATGACACTTGGAAGGTGGTAAGGTGATAGGGAATAGCCAGCATGGATTTGTAAAGAACAAATCATGTCAAACCAATCTGATAGCTTTCTTTGATAGGATGACGAGTCTTGTGGATAAGGGAGAAGCGGTGGATGTGGTATACCTAGACTTCAGTAAGGCATTTGATACGGTCTTGCGTGATATTCTTATCAATAAACTAGACAAATATAACTTAGATGGGGCTACTATAAGGTGGGTGTATAACTGGCTGGATAACCGTACTCAGAGGGTAGTTATTAATGGTTCCCAATCCTGCTGGAAAGGTATAACAAGTGGGGTTCTGCAGGGGTCTGTTTTGGGACTGGCTCTGTTCAATAGCTTCATCAACAACTTAGATATTGGCATAGAAAGTACGCTTATTAAGTTTGCAGATGATACCAAATTGGGAGGGATTGCAACTGCTTTGGAGGATAGGGTCAAAATTCAAAATGATCTGGACAAATTGGAGAAATGGTCTGAGGTAAACAGGATGAAGTTTAATAAAGACAAATGCAAAGTACTTCACTTAGGAAGGAACAATCAGTTTCATACATACAGAATGTGAAGAGACTGTCTAGGAAGGAGTAAGGCAGAAAGGGATCTAGGGGTTATAGTGGACCACAAGCTAAATATGAGTCAACAGTGTGATGCTGTTGCAAAAAAAAGCAAACGTGATTCTGGGATGCATTAACAGGTGTGTTGCGAGCAAGACACGAGAAGTCATTCTTCCGCTCTACTCTGCACTGTTTAGGCCTCAACTGGAGTATTGTGTCCAGTTCTGGGCACCGCATTTCAAGAAAGATGTGGAGAAATTGGAGAGGGTCCAGAGAAGAGCAACAAGAATGATTAAAGGTCTAGAGAACATGACCTATGAAGGAAGGCTGAAAGAATTGGGTTTATTTAGTTTGGAAAAAAGAAGACTGAGAGGGGACATGATAGCAGTCTTCGGTATCTAAAAGGATGTCATAAGGAGGTGGGAGAAAACTTGTTCATCTTAGCCTCTAAGGATAGAACAAGAAATAATGGGCTTAAACTGCAGCAAGGGAGGTTTAGGTTGGACATTAGGAAAAAGTTCCTGTCAGGGTGGTTAAATTGCCTAGGGAGGTTGTGGATTCTCCATCTCTGGAGATATTTAAGAGTAGGTTAGATAAATGTCTATCAGGGATGGTCTAGACAGTATTTGGTCCTGCCATGAGGGCAGGGAACTGGACTCGATGACCTCTTGAGGTCCCTTCCAGTCCTAGAATCTATGAATCTATGAATCTATGAGCTGAATAAACAAATATGACACGTTTGAGACAATGACAGCTACAAGTAATCTTTACAAGAAGTTACAAAATTGATTTTCTAACTGGGATCAGACATACTTTTACCTCTGGTTCCTGTTGTGATAAAGAATTTTCATTTCAAAAGCTTTGGCCCTCTTGGCCACCATATATCCAATACTGCCCATTCCAATGATACCAAGGGTAGCCCCGGTGACGTCATCTCCCAGCAAGCCATCAGCAAAATGCTCAGTGTTTGGGGAAACTGCAATCTGACAACCTGAAGAAAGAAAAATAACATGAGGAATGGAATGATGCTAGGCATTCAGATACCCATCTGTGACAGGGTCTATTTACCCCCACACCAACCCAGCCAGGGTTCAGCCCATATTATTGACAGCGGAAGTCCCGCCTCCCCAGTGGGACTGGGCATGCTCCAGATGCTCTAGCAGTATAAAGGGAGGAAGCCCAGCTCATTCTGAGCTGAAGGCTGCAAGGGAATGACCTGTCTGGGAAGTGCCTGCAGGTGCCAGTCCGCACTGGGAATCAGAGCCCCCTTGGGCCTGCCTGAACCCCAGTGACTGGAGTAGCCACTGGAGGTGACCGGCCCAGCTAACCACAGCGAATCCAATGTCTCATGGGAGTCCCCAACACAGATGCTGGTAGGAAGTGGCCCAGGGAGGGTGATGGAGTGTTACCTCCCGCCTGGGAAACCTCAATGTGTTTTGGTAGGATCCCCCCTGCTGAGTCGGTGGCCAGTTGCTATGCCACTGTTAGGGCCCTGGGTTGGGGCCTGGTGGAGTTGGGTGGGCCTAGGCCCCCCTACCGGGGCCACCACACCTCTTGGTGGGTGCCCCACCCCAATCTCAATAGGCTCTGGCTGCTAGGCCATGCTGCCCTGCACCTCAGGGCATAAACTGTCACACCATCTTTTTCCTTTGGCTCACAAGCCAACATGACAATGGAGCATCAATATTTACTTTTACCTTTTAATCAAACACATGATGGGTAATGTTGACACTGGCAACCAGAGCTCTTGATTTGATTTCTTGCTCATAGCAGTAAATGTCTCTTTTCACCCTCCCCAACTCTCTTTGGGGGAGAGTGGGATGAGACTCTTAACCTCAGTTTTATTTCAATCAAAAACCTGCTCTTGTCTTTGGCTCTGGAAGCAGTAGAAATTGTCAGCTCTTCAACCAGTATCTGAGCCTTCTGTCTTGGGGTGGCTAGTCATTAGGAGCTAATGGAGCTAAGTCCCACCAACAATGCCATAGCTGTATCACCTACACTCTAGACTCTGGATAATGTAGCTGATGTGCTACAGGTTGCAGTACCATCACCAGGTTACTTTCAGTGGGGCTAGATCTACGCCAGCTCCAGGAGGCTGCAGGATACCTGGTTGCCATTGTATTTCCTGCACATATGTTGCAGGCAGAGAGATGAGGCACAGAAGTGTGAATAAAGGTTTTTATGGGGCTAATTCAAATCAGCCTCAAAAAGGCAGAGCACAGTGCTCCCTCTTGTTGGGCCTGGAAAAGCAGGGGCAGAGGGAACAAGCAGTATGGGGTGGTGGTTATGAGCTGGGGTAAGGGAGGGAAGCTCTAACACTAGAGGTATCTGGGGAGACATATCTATTTTACTGACATTTTTGTTTGGAAATTATATGTGCCCTGTGGGCAAGCTAATGTTACCATGAGACATTTATTGTCGCCTTTTTCCATTCTTTGATTTTGTGTATTTATATTTTTAACTGTACATCCACATACATTTTAACATAGCATATTTTGAAATGCAGATCCTGAAAAAAATTAAATGGTTACCTTCCACTAGTCTCCTGGCAGATGCCAACATTAAAGCCATCCCCAGATCTGCAGTGACATTGCAAACAGCAAAGGGAGTGTTGGCAACTTTCACTCCAAAGCTGGAGATCAGTTTCAAGTCCAAATGATCCAGTCCTGCCCCAGAGGTTGCAATCACCTTTAAGTTAGGCAGACTATGGAGAAGCTCCTGGTTAGCAGCTGGTTTGTGCCACCACATATAAATAGCTTTGATCTTTTCACTAAGACGGTTTTTGTTTTCAAGAAATTCCTTCATGGTGATAAGGTTAAAATGTTTCTTCAGAAACTCGACATGATCCTCATGCACTCCGTATGTCCCTCCTATAGTGTCGATTAACACATAAGGAAGCTCTTGCTCTTCCATGCCCTACAAAAGGAAACAAAACCAAAGTGTTTCCCTGAGTAACATTTCCCCTTCCCTCCATGTTTTAAACAGTTCAGCAGGGCTTTACTTCACTTGCCCTGTTACGGCAGAAAGAGACAGTAAACTCATGTCCAAAGTTTCCCTGTCTTATTTATTTTGAAAAACTGCTGCTGCGCTATTCAGAGAATAGTCCAGTTTGGAAGCAATTGTTACTTTGGCAAGAATGCATTGTTATAGCATGGCATAGTTGTCCTAACACCTATAGGTGAAAAGATACAAAATAAAATTTAACAGAAATAATTAAGTAAAACAATATAAATTCAAGGGTCAAAGTCTATACAGTTCAAAGCTTTGTGGGCCAAAGGACATCTCCATGCTCACTGGCCCAAATTCTGCATTCACTTCCACTTACGCAGCCCCACTGAAGTCAGTGAATTTTCATGAGGGTATTTGAGGACATGATTTCATCTAACACAATGAGAGTTATTTATGGACTAGGTGCACTGCTGTCTCTAATTTACTTTGTAACTTAGTTCACTAACTTTGTTTGCTGAATGGGAAAAAAATTGCAAGATTTTGATGTTCATGCACTCTGCTGACTTTAGAAAAATCAGATCCATCATTTGAACTTTAAGCCCAATTACTATCTTATTAAAGAAAGAGAACAGAATTTAACCCCTGTTGATATAGGGAGTAAAAAGGGACTATGTTCCAGGAAAAAAACAAAATCCACCACCATATTCACTTAACATTTTGTAGACTTCATATATTTTTACTGAGATTAGTTTAAAAAAAATTCCAGGTTGGTGAAACACATAAATAAGAATAACTGCTCCTGAGCATTTCAAAACAAAAGTATCTTGCATTTACAACTGCTGCAACAAATAAAACATGAAACAAACACCAAAAACCCAACCATCTCCACCCAAAACCCATAGCTTCCTGAAAAGTATACTTCAAGCTTTAATTACTAGCTTTTTCTGGCATGGGTAGTTTTATCACTTTGGAAAATGAATTTTAAAAGCACTTGAATTTTCCCAACCAGCCAGTAGGTAGGGCTGGAGAGATTAAAACACACAAAGTATAGAACTTTCCTTAGTTCACACTTTTTATTCCTTTGAGGTTGGGAATAAATACCAACAAACTCCCTTCCTTTTATTTTGTTTCAACAGGAGTGTGTGGGTGTACACTATGTGTGGGAAGAAGGAGTGCTGACTGATTTGCCCCTTAGAGAACAAAAACTTGCATCCCCCAAATTCCACAGATCTTCTGGAGCTCAGTCCCAAAAATCCTGCCTTACTCTGCCCCACTCTTCCTGCAATGCCTCGGTCACTTGCCTGCACGAGCAGATTCCCTCAGGCCTCTCTGATTCATGCTAGTTCCTTAACTGACTCCTCTCCTCCTGCCAACCACCAGGCTCCTGAAGTGACCCATCTACCCTTACCAGTCCCGGGTTTAAGGAGCAAATTGTGACCCAACAGCGGTGGCAGATTATGTCTGGACGCAGTCTGGGGTTTGGGAATGGTTTCCAGCAGTTGGAAAATAGGAGCTGAGTCTCACTCCTGGCAGAAGTCCTAAGCCACCCTCTTCTTCATTCCAGAACTACTAGTAAACAGCTACTTCCCAGGTTTTAGCCATTTGAAAAATGGCCATTTCTATAGGGGCCTGATCCAAAACCCATTGAAATCAGTGGGGAAACTCCCGTTGATGTCACTGAGTTTTGGATCAGGCCCCAGGAGTTATTTATCTGTTTCTTGCACAGTTACCTCCACAAGTGCCTCTATTACTATAATTGCCCAAGTCTTTTTGACTTAATGAATTTAATTTCTGGCCAAAGGCTCTGCCATTTCTCCAAAGGGGTATGCCAAAACCAATGACCCATAGAATCACAGTGAAGTTTGGTGCTCTACTTGTTTTCTTTAATTAACCCAGTCTGGACTTGACTATGGGGAAATTAAACAGTACTTTGGTTTTCAAGAAATTTGCAAGAATACACGTGTTTATGCAAAACTGATCTCAGCCTTTTTGTGGGCCAAGTGCAGACAACACTGCATGGAGTCCACAGCAGTTGGAAACTGGGGCTAGGGGTAAGTGCTAACACTGAGAGTTGGCCAGTTCAGATTCAGAGATGGTCTTTTAATGTTCACTGGGGTCAGAAAGGAGTCTCATTGGGCTCAGAGGAGGGAGAGATTAGGAAGTAGATCTTGAGGTGGGGGAGGGACTGATGAACTATTTCTGCCAATAATATTTTTGCTCAGGAATGCACCAGATGGCAGGTATTTTCTAGAGATGAGCTCACACCAAGAACTCAGAATGTGAACCCTCTCATGCCCAGTAATGGGATATGTGAACTTCACCGGATGGAGTCCTCTCTCTAGTATTCTCCAGAAATGTTCCCCATGCAATACCCTAGATCCCTACTACAAGGGCTTTATTCACTCCTCCAGCTCTTGGCAAATTATTTCAGCGCTCCTGAGGAGAGAGACAAGATTATTTGGGAGAAATCTGGAGGACTAGTACTGTACAGGGGTGGGCAAACTTTTTGGCCTGCGGGCCACATCGGGGTTCCAAAACTGTATGGAGGGCTGGGTAGGAAAGGCTGTGCCTCTCCAAACAGCCTGGCCTCCGGCCCCTATCCGCCCCCTCCCACTTACTGCCCACCTCAGAACCCCCCACCCATCCAACCCTCCCGCTCCTTGTCCCCTGACCGCTGCCCTCCTGGGGTCTCCTGCCCCTAACCGCCCCTTGGAACCCCACCCCCTAGCCACCCCCCCGCTCCTTGTCCCCTGACTGCCTGACGCCTATCCACACACGCCTGACAGGCCCCCCAGGACTCTCATGCCTATCTAACCCCCCCGTCCCCTGACTGCCCCCCCAGAACCTCGGAAGGTCCGAGGCTAGCCTCCCTGGCCGGAAGCTCAAGGGCCGGGCAGGATGGTCCTGTGGGTTGGATGTGGCCTGTAGGCCGTAGTTCGCCCACCTCTGGCTTAGTAGGT